ACATGTCAAGTAGCATTATTCTAACTAACATTTGGGCTCCATATATTGCCAAACTCGGTCTAGAAATAAAATTAGTTGCTTATTTCTCCTTGGGGATGCCCTCCTTACCCTGAGCTATGTGGCAAGTTTTTCAGGTGGACCGTGCCTCTTGCTTTTATCTGTAAGCCCCCTGGTCCCTGTCATAACACCTTTTATGTAGTGGCCACTTGGTCAGTGCTTCTCGAACTGGGTCACTTACAAGTTATTACTGTCTTGGTCAAACTTCCTTTCCGCACCTGTGGCACTAATTGAGAAATTTCCAAGTGACTGAACCTTCTCTCCCCCGCCCCCGCCCCCCAATCTAAGAGAATAAGAGACACATGTGCGTTTCCCAAAGATCTGGCATTTTTAACGGTACCCTTTTAACTGGTTCACTTTTGTATGAAATGTGAGGAACACAGATTCAGATGTAAGAAGTGTCACAAATTGAAGAGTTGAAGAATCAAGTTTTATGATACCAGTTTCACGCCACTCAGGGTGAAACAAGAGAAAAATAGGCCAGATCTACAAATTGTTTAAGTCCACTTTGGAGTGTGTTTGGTCCCTTCTAGGATTTCCTGGAGCCCTGGAGACTGGTATTCACCATCCACATATGCATATGTAAAAATATACCGTCTATAAATAGCCACCTGCCTTTTCAGTGAAATTAAAGATGGGAGAGTTGGAAGAGAATTTCCTGGTATAATTACAGGGTTTAAATCTACAGCTGTTACACTTCTATAGTTCTACTCAGAGAATCTCTAATATCACTATTTTCTACAAGCACATTAAATTTTTTTTTTTTTTTTTTTACTTTTCCTCTAGCAGTAAAATGCTATCAACAGGACATTTATTCTTGCCAAGATTGCTGACATACCTACTTTAAAAGATTAGGTGTTGCATGTGGTTCTTTTGTAGACTAATTTTATTTTATAAACTGCAGAAAATTTTCACAAGAGTTTCTGCTCCTTATCTAGGGATTAACACCAAACTCCTGCCAATATTTTTCTTAACCTTTACACGTGCCCTTTCACAAACACTCTCCCTCACATATTTTCTGCTTAGATGCACCTCCTTTAAAAAATCCCTGAGCTTCTAAAGTCTTAGGTAAGAATCAACCACAGGCTGCATGCGCAATTCCACTCTTGCTTCTCTGCCCCATGTGTGCAGCCCGCCCCCCGCCCCCCCCCCCGCCCCCCAGCTTGAAGATTTGAATAATTGGTGCAACAGGCCTGGATGATCCAGAAATCTTAGAAGGAAGAACTGAGGAATGTGTGCTTTGGTGAGCCTTCTGATGCCTTAATTTTGGGGAAGATAGAGAATGTTGATTACGTCCTCTTTGCAAGGTATGGGAGGCAGCGTACCACCATGCCTTCAGAAGCCATCTGGGCTCTGAAGGAGGAGGCTGGGTTCGTGTCGCAGTGCCCACAGCTTGCAGTTCCTTGAGGGAAGAGCCATCAGCCCGGCAATGTTATTGACCAGTTTATCCCAGGACCACCATGATGGCCTCCGACTCCTGTGATGGGAGTTGCTCCTGTGCCAGAGGAGTGTGCCCTCCCCCAGAGGCTGAGCCGCTCTGCCAGAGGTCCTCCCTCTCAGAGATGGCTAAGAAGCTAGGACACAGGTGCCACTCAAGAGGGACAATGCTCACGACTGAAGGACTCGTTATAGTTCACGGACAGAAAGCTCCATGTGTCCCACCTGGGGCGGGGGGGGGGGCGGATGTCATCAACATGACTGCAGTTCCAGAGGTGTTTCCTGCTAAAAAGGCTGGACTTTGCGGAGCAAGTATCGCCATGGCAACATTGCTGGAAGGATCAGAAGTGGTTTCAGGGGACCAGGATTTAAGGCCCTGAAAAAAAAAGATGCCAATAAAATTTACTCCTCGCTGCCCTACCTCAGAGAGGGTCCACGGAATGGTCAGAAACCATCCCTGACCTGAAGGATAAGGCCCATTTCTCTGTGCTATTACATTAAAATAGCATGGCTGCCCAGGAGATAAGGAGACTTTCTCATTCTAGTCATTTGGAAATCCCTGCTCAATTAGGAATGCGGAGAAGCTCTCATGCCCTTGGCCGCTAAGGAAGAGCTGGTGGTCAGACCATACCAGGCCGGTGTGGATGATGCTTCTGAAAGGCAGGAACTGCTTCAAAAACAGAGGGAAAGCCAACATCCAGGCAACCTCTGGAAAAATTCCACCACCTTAGAAAAAAGACAAGAACACACCATCCCTCTTCCCTCATTAAATTCATGACAATAAAGGGTGAGGGTGACATCCAATGTCCTATGTCACCAAGGAATATGAAGACAAAACGGAACTCCAGCTATTGGTGTCACTGTAAATCGGTACAATCTCTCTGGAGAGCAGTTTGGTGAAATGTATTAAAAGGCTAAAAAGTGCTTACACTTTGCTATGAAGGTGACTGTATTCCTCTTATCTTTAAAAAATTAAAAAATGTGCACACAGAACTATATATAAAGCAGGATGTTTAATATAGTGTTAGTTTTAATAGCGACTATTCAAAACAAACGGAATACCCAAAAATTGGAGATAAATGATGGTTTCGCTCTAATTAGATTGTGAAGCAGCCAACTGAAGATCATGTTTTTATATACTATTTCATTCATGTCCTAAAGAATTGGTTGCTCTACACTATAAAATGAAAAGAAAAAAAACCAAAACCATATGTAAGCATCTTAGAGTACTAATTTTGTTTCAAAATTCTAATTAGCAGGCTCACACACATGGCTGATGTGTTTATAAATGCACACACACACACACACAAAGGCTAGAAAAAAATAATCATTTGTTATTGTATTTTGGGGGTATCCTGGATAATTTTAATTTTCTTTATATTTTTCTTCACATTTTTCCCCACATGAATAGACTCAAATAGTAAAGTTACTTCAAAAATAAAAATTACTTAGAAGGAAAAAAGGAACTACATAAGGACAACCACAACGTGAGAGGAATTAAACGGAGCACTTTCATCTCTGCTTACAAAAAAGCAGGTAGTAATTTATTCATTCGCAGCCTTTGTTCCCTCACTAAAGACCGAGGCTGTTCCCTCTCTCTTCCCTCTCCCAGAGCCCGGAGGCCCGGGCGGTGCTGGGAGAGGAGGGGACACATTTCCAGGAGCGGCCAGGCCGCCCTCCCCAGCAAGGGCCCAAGTGCCTGTAGCAGTTCATTTGTGAGCAAAGACCCTGTTGGGAGCCTCCCACCCACCCTGAAAGCAAACATCCTTCACAGGCCCTATTGGTGTGGTGCTGGAAAGGGCATGCTTTAACCCAGAAGGCGTCATTTTATGGACAAAAACTGGATAAGCCTTAAGAGCCTGGAAGTGGCTATTTTTTGCCTTCCCGGATGCCCAGATCTTCCCAGGTGAGGCTGACCTCACCCCCACTGCGAGGCTCAGGCCCGGGAGGATCAGAGCCGCGGGCTGCGGAGTGCGGCCGGTGACTTCCTCCTCCTCCCGGGGCGGGCCGTCTGTCGCTGGCTTGCACCCTGTGTATTTGTGAAGCACACCAGCCATGTGTGCGAGCCTGCTAATTAAAACAAAAACAGAACTGTTTCTGTGGGGCTTCAGAAGTGCAGAACCTTCGGGCCGAAGAAGGGAAGGAAAACAGCAGCAATCAGGCTACTGCTGGGTCTCCAGGGCCACCCGAGAGTGAGGCAGCTGTACTGTGAAAGGCCAGGAAACAGCACCTGAATTAAAGAAGAGAGGCAGGTGGGGGAAAAAACCCAAACCAACAACAAAAAAGCTAGCAGGCTCGGAATTGGAAGTATTTAGAATGCCTTTATCATTTCCCCGAGGGACTGTTTGATGGCGAAGGCTTCTCAGTCTAATCTGATTCCAAAGTCGGCTTCTGGGACGAGAGGGAAGAACAGCTTCGGTGTCTTCGGAGGCTCTCCCTGGGGTGAGGCCTGCAGCCTGCTCCTGCCAGAGCTGCTGAGTCACGGCCACCTCGGGGAGTCACCTCCCCTCTGGCTCAGGGGACCTGGAAGGCAGCAGGAAGCTCACAGCCGAGGAATGCTCCATAGGCCAGGCCCTTGCTATTATCTGGCCTTTCCCAGCCACGGGGACCCAAGGGACTTAGATATTAACAATTCAGATAAGGTTCATCAGGATGATACAGAGCACTAATCAGTTTATTTCTTATTTTATTTTATTTTTAAATATATTTTATTGATTTTTGTACAAAGAGGAAGGGAGAGAGATAGAAAGTCAGAAACATCAATGAGAGTCATCGATCAGCTGCCTCTTGCACACCCCCTTCTGGGGATATGCCCGCAACCAAGGTACAATACATGCCCTGGACCAGAATCGAACCCGGGGCCCTTCAGTCCCCAAGCCGACGCTCTATCCATTGAGCCAAACCGGTCCCGGCGAACACTAATCAGTTTAAACACACACGCACACACACACCTCTCTGAATTCTTCCCTAGAAAAGCAGACCTAGTTCTCTTTGGAATCCGGACTTCTCCTCTGAAGGGAAGTAAAAGCATGGATCAGAGAGCAGCTCTTTAGAAGCGATGCTTATTCTGTACGGTCAGTCAGTTATCCAGAGCAGGATGTGAACAGGCTTAAGGGAGTGTGTGGTGGGTGGTGTGGAGAGAGGCAGGAAGCAGTAACAACAGAAAAAAAAGAAAGAAAAATTAAGAGACAGTTAAGGCATTCATTACACCTTTTTAAAAAAATACTATGAAAAAGAGGCCTCCATAAAAGGATGTATGCAGACTTTAATAGCTGATGATAGCCCAATGGATGTTTCTTTCTTTTCAGATTTAACCCATCTTGGAATTAATAATTATTCAAGGTGTGTATACTTTTTTGTGGATTCCCTGTAGACCCTCTCTTCCTCTTGGAGAGACCCATCCAATGTGTCCCTCTACACCTTGTTTCCACACCACTAAAGCTTAATTTTTTTTTGGCTTACCAATATATATAGGCACTGTAAACTAAATAAACATTCACTTGGTATTTAAAAAAAATTTATTTTGTGATCTGTACATGTGATAAAGTGGGGCTTCCTTGTAGACTTTTAAAGGCAAAACAAAACAAAAAATCCAAAGTAAAAATGTATAAATACAATATATATTTTTCTTACAAAAATGGGAGATTTACAAAATATACATACCGCACTTGTCTCTATCTTACAAATTTCACATGCAAGAGATACAACACAGAAGATGCCAAAGAACTGCATGGTGGGAATTTTAAAAATCTGACAAATGAGACAGTTTTGGAGGTTTAAGAAACCCACGGTCAATAACTTTAATATAAAAAGCAGCTCCAATTCGGCTGAACATTATAGAAAGTAACTTGTATTCCTGACCGTACCCCCCTATGATTTAAAAACTGTTTAAAACAGCATTTTAAAACTGTTTTTGAGAAATGGGACAGTGTTGCAAGACCGGAGGGTGGTGTCAAAGGTGGAGTAAAGGTTAGCTCCCATGATCCTCTGCTCAGCTTTAGACCATTAGGCAAAAGGAACAGAGTTCCATTATAGAAAGGAAAAAAAAGTCCATGATTTAAGATTAATACATTTAAGTCATCCAGCACATTTCAAAGGACTCCAGAATGACTTTGAAGTTTACCTTCTTTTAATGACTTTCTTTAGGAAGGGGGCCCAGGATTCGAACTGTCCTCTTCATTTACCATCATCTCTGCAGGTCACCTCCCCACCCAGCCAGACAAAGACAGGATCAGCATACACAAGATGTGTTCTAAATGGATTTATGGGGCTATGAAAACAGGACAAACATTTTTCTTTACTTTTCAAGTCCAGCTTGCCTGCACTATGGAGGCTGAAGACATTATGCTCTTCCTTTTACCCAGGAGGGTTCAAGTTGGAGAAAAAAAGACTAGAAAGAAAACCTAAAGGCAGGTTTATAGGAAGAAGAAAAAAAATGAAGGGAGGGATTTCCCTTCCCATTTTCACAGAGCCCATGTCATTGGATCATGTGTTCTGAATAAAATGGATGTAAAACAATCAACAAACCCCTTGCATTTCCTTTAGCCAAGTCAGGATCTCTGACCCAGTGGGGGTATGGAACCACACTGCCTTTCACCTTTCCTTAAAAAGGAATGTTTATCTCCACCAAGTTAACCTCCAGAGAGAAGCCTCAGGTTTGCACGACCTCGCCTGTAAGATTGGCTGTCTTCACAGTTATGCCCTTCCAGAGAGACACTTTTGTTCCCTCCTTTGTCTCTTACAACAAAGACAAGGGGGGAAATGCACTCCTGTTTTGAAAAGCAACAAGTCAACACTTCTTTGCATGGCATTAAACAAAATAAAACACCCTTCTCTCTTCCTCCTGCATTCCATAGGAAAAAAAAAAAAAAGCAAAAATACCTCCTACTCCTTTGCACCATCTCCGAAGACTATCTTCATTTCTTTTGCATCCTCACATTAGGATTCGAGGAATCACATTAGGATATCCAAATGCTTATTTCATAAAACTTTAAAGGAGTGAGAGGGGGAAAAAGCAACAGGCGGGAGGGGGCTGGGCAGGAGAGGCTGCCGACTGTAATGCCTGACCCTGTTAATTAACCCATCTGGGCTCCAGTTTGGCCCCAGTGAAAAGAGATTATGGTTTGACCACCGCTTGACAAGGGCACCGCAGGGAGTCCACCCTTTTCCAACAAAGCGGCCGCAGCAGACCGAGCTGTACCTTTCACCAGGGCCTCCCGGGAGGGAGGGAGGGAGGGAGCGAGGCCAGGCCCCAGGACAGCCGGAGCTGGGAGGAACTGAGCATTTGTCTGCTGGTCTCGCTCTTCTGCATAGGCCCAGGGCGTCCGTACCGCACACGTGAGAAGCCCCATCGTTATCAGAATCATCATCACCATCATCATCCTGCAAGTCTTTGCCAGAAGTCCTTCCACCCAAACCGTCTTCCCGCTCAGGCCTCCTTCCCACACCTCGTCCCACATCCACATCCACCTTTTTCCCTTCCAGGTCACTTCTCCTAGGAGGGGGAGGGGGCTACAGGAAGCAGCCCCCCCAAGTTCCTTCCCTCTATTAAGGAGTGTGGGGGGGAGGGAGAGAAGGGGGGGAGGGGCTCATACCGCAGTCTCCCCCTTGCTGCTGTGGCTGAGTCTGTGGTAGAAGCGGCGCCACGACTGCAGGGTTTTGCCCGACCAGATCCAGAAGCCGGTGGTGATGCCCACGATCATGGTCATCAGGTACTTGATCATGAAGACGGTGAAGTCGGGGCTCATGGGCGGGAAGTGGCCCGGCGGGCAGGGCACGGCGTAGCTCTTGCAGGTCTGCAGGAGCCAGGTGCGCTCCCAGTGCTCGCGGAAGGCCTGCTCGTAGAAGTAGCAGGCCAGCACGATGGTGGCCGGCACGGTGTACAGCACGGAGAACACGCCGATGCGCACCATGAGCTTCTCCAGCTTCTCCGTCTTGGTGCCGTCGTGCTTCATGATGGTGCGGATGCGGAAGAGCGACACGAAGCCGGCCAGCAGGAAGGACGTGCCGATGAAGAGGTAGACGAAGAGCGGCGCCAGCACGAAGCCGCGCAGCGCGTCCACGCTGGACAGGCCCACGTAGCACACGCCGCTGAGCAGGTCGCCGTCCACCTGGCCCATGGCCAGGATGGTGATGGTCTTCACGGCCGGCACGGCCCACGCCGCCAGGTGGAAGTACTGCGAGTTGGCCTCGATGGCCTCGTGGCCCCACTTCATGCCGGCCGCCAGGAACCAGGTGAGCGACAGGATGACCCACCAGATGGAGCTGGCCATGCCGAAGAAGTAGAGCACCATGAAGAGGATGGTGCAGCCCTCCTTCTTGGTGCCCTGCGCCACCGTGCGGTAGCCGTCCTCGGAGAAGCGCTCCACGCACACGGCGCGGTCCTCCAGCAGGAAGCCGGCCACGTGCGCCACGGCCACCATGAAGTAGCAGCCCGACAGGAAGATGATGGGCCGCTCCGGGTAGCTGAAGCGCCGCATGTCCACCAGGTAGGTGAGCACCGTGAAGAGCGTGGAGGCGCAGCACAGCACGGACCACACGCCCACCCAGAGGCGCGCGAAGCGCCGCTCCTCCTCCTTGAAGTACATGAGGCCGTTGGCGCGGCCCGGCTCGCACGGGGCGCCGCAGTCGCGCTCGCCCAGGAAGCGGTAACCCAGGTACGGGGGCACCTTGAGCTGCCGCGGGCACGAGAAGGGGAAGGAGGCCCTGCCCCGGCTGTCGGCCGCCCCGGGGGCCGGCGCGGTGAAGGGCAGGTCGGGCAGGTAGGCGGGCGCGGTGGGGTAGGCGGTGGCGCCGCCGCCGCCCGGGCCCCCCGAGCCGTCGGACGTGTTCTGGCCCACGCAGATCTCGCCCGCGCCGTGCACCGGGAAGTTCTCGCAGCGCAGCCGCTCGGGCCACTGGAAGCCGAACTTGTTCATGAGCGCCTCGCAGCCCTGGCGCGCGCGCTCGCACAGGGAGCGGCAGGGCGGGATGGCCTTGTCCAGCACGGTGCACACGGGCGCGTACATGGAGCACAGGAAGAAGCGCAGCTCCGGCGAGCACTGCACCTTCACCAGCGGGTAGAACTGGTGCACCTCGAGGCCCGCGTCCTCCTGGTTGGTGTGGCCCAGCAGGTTGGGCAGGATGGTCTGGTTGTACGCGATGTCCGTGCACAGCGGGATGGAGATGAGCTGGCAGAAGCCGTGGTCCGGCACCGAGATGCCCTTCTCGCCGTGGTACGGCTGCGCCCCGGCGCCCGCGGACAGCGCGCCCAGCAGCGCGAGCACCAGGGCGCCGAAGCCCGCGGGGGAGCGCGGGGTGGCCGCGCCGGCGCCCCGCATCGCCGGCCGTGGGGGCAGCGGCGCTCTCAGCCGGAGGATCGCGACGAGGCCGCCGCCGAGGGAGGCTCGGATCCGGGGAGGCGCCGCCGCGCCCGGCGCATGAGAGTCCTCCCGGCGCCGAGGCGGGGGCCGGGCCGTGGGCGGCGCGGAGCCGGGGGCGCCGCGGCCACCTCCGCCTGGCAGTCCCGCCGCCGCCGCCGCCGCCGCCGCCGAGGGACCAAACTCTTAGGCTTCTCCTCCTGCCGCGACGTAACGGTGCGGCTCCCTCTGTGGCGAGGAGCAACAAGCGTCTCCGGTTACTCCCCTGGAAAGTTTGCCCAAGTCTCTGGAATCCCGGCGCACCGCGGCGCGCGCCCCCCGCCCCAAGCCCGGCCCCCGGCGGCGAGGACCCGGCGCCGCCGCCCGCGAGCCAAGGCCGCCGCGGCGGCGGGGCTGCTCCGCCTCCTCGCCTCGAGGCTCCGCTCGCCGCCGCCTCCGCCTCCTCCTCCTCCTTCGCCTTCTTTTCAACTCCCCGCTCTTTCTTCAGCCCCAAGTTTCAGCCAGATCGGCCGATTCTCGCTCTGAGCCCAATCGGCGCCTTGGAACCCAGGGCTCAGGGAGTTCTCTTCCGAAATCCAGCTACACGGAGTCCGAAGCTGCGAGGTCCCGGTGCCCGCGCGGCCTGGGCCCGGCCTCTCCCCAGCCCTGAGCAGCCCCGGCCCGTGATCCTGGCGCCCCGCGCCCGCCGCCGCCGCCGCCCGCTGGGAGCGCAGAGTAACGCCGGTGCCGCGCCGCTCGCCAGAAGAAGCGCCGGGCTCGCCGGGTCCAGGGTCGCCCCGCCCCCTCCCCTCCCCCCATTCACAAACCACTGCGGGGGCGGGCCCTCGAGGCCGGGGCTGCCCAATGGGAGCCTTTGTTTCCTGCGCGGCCGCCCTCGGATTGGGCGGAAGTCGGAAGGGGGCTGGCGAGGGAACCCGAGAGGCGGCGCCGGCACTGCTCTGGGCGGATTCCTGCGGGGAGGGGTGGGGGGTGGGGGAGTGGGAGAGAAAAGTTAAAAACTTTTACCCCCGAATTCGCTCGGGTGTTGGGGGGTTACACGCACCAGAAAGGGCGTTTGCTGGAAAGATGTGTTCCTCTTCTCTGGGTGCACGAACACATCCCTGAATGGCGCATCGGGAGAGACTTTTGCGGGGAGAAACGGAGAATAAAGCCTGAGCAGAAAGAGAGTCCGGGTAGCCGTTCTAGGTCTGAAGATGCTGGTTTTCTCCGGACTTTTAGGCAGCCGGGTCCTGCAAGTAGGGTTTGGTTAAGGGGTGCAAGGGGGTGCACCTCGCAGATCGCTTTTCTCTTCCCAAACCCCAACACACCACGTGAGGCCACATCCCCTCTCCCCCGCTAACTCTGGGTTGTAAAAAAAAGGAGGAGGGGCCGCATCGAGGAGAAAAGGGAGCCGAGAGGAGGAAGGGCAGACCCCTCCTCTGAGAGCGGCGGAGCCGGGGACCCCCGGCCCCAGACCACCCCGCCCGCGCGCGGCCCGGAGCGCAGGGACCTGGCGTCGCTGTGGTGAGGTTGTAAGAAAGCTAAGCATTGGAGGTGCATGGTTATGCAAGTACCCCGAGACCGAGTGCCTAGGAACACGCTGACCGTTTCAATGGCCCTGTTTTCCCTAGGACTTCGGGAGTGTGGCCATTTGGGACCCCATCTCAGTGGCCAGAAGCAATCCTCGGATCCTCTGTTTGGAATCTGGGAAGAAAAGTTTCAATGCGTGTTAGAAAAACGGGGCATTTGCTAAGGAAAGCGTTTTCAAAAGCACAAAGAGAGGTCCTGTTAGTTCTCGGGTAGCATTTTTTTTTTCTTTTCTTTCTTTCTTTCTTTTTTTTTCTTCTTCCTGATGGGCAAGCGTCCTTTTGTTCTGTCAAATCTTCTTCCCGCTGCAGGCTCTGGACGCCAGCGCGCGCTCTCGGGTCACTCCCGGCGAGGCCAGAAGTTACCGCGGGCGGGGGTCCCGGCGCCTCCCCAGGAAGATCAGGGATTTCCACGCAGGAGAGTGACATGTTGGGAAAGGAAAGACCTGCCTCTCTGGGTCACACACACACTTGCACACGCACACGCAGTCACAGAGCAATCCTGTACTTAAAAAACGTGACTCCTGTGGAGCCCTTCCTCCTGGCGCTGGCCCCGAGGGCTTTCTGATCCGGCTTTGTGATTGCAGAAGTTGTTGCCTCTGCTGCCCCCGGGGAGCCTCTTCTCCAGCAACGGGAAAACGGATCCTGAAACCTAAGACAATTCATTGGGTTCGTTTCCTTTCACGGGAGACTTTGGCTTCCTCGGTGTTTTTTTGATTTTCTTTATTTTCACACAGGTCTTTGTGACTTCTCACTCCCGTTCATGGGTCTGGAGGGCTGAGTCACCTGGGCCCACGTAAGGCATCGGACGCTCCCATTTTTCCCATTGGACCCTCAACAGGAATCCTCATCATTTTCTTCCAAAGCATCCGCCTCCCCCTCACATCCACGACGGTATTTTTAATTTACTTGAGGGTTTCTGCTTCACGAGTTAATGACATTTGCTTCTAAAATGTTTCATTCCTTCCTTGTATTTTTTTAAGGGCTCCTCTTTTTTTCTTCCTAAATTGTTATTCTTATTACCTAACCTTGGGGAGCATTGATGCTGTATTGAAAGCTGTTGCTTAAAGACAGTGCTGCCGCTTTGCTTTGTCATTTAAAGTGTGTGGTGGTGAGGGTGGTGATGGGAGGAGGAGGGGTCTGAAAATCCTTTTTTTCTCTTCCAGAGCTTCAGGATATCCTCCTTTTCTAAATCAAATTTTCTTGCTTATTCATCAGGCCCCTGATCTAAGTCATTTTTGCTTATTGTGGGAGAAATTGCAAGCACTGTCATCACATAAAATGAAAACCAACAGGATAAAACACTACGTCTCAAATACAACTGAAACCAGTTTAGTTGATGAGCTTCTATTCAGTACACCCAGACAGCTCCCTGGTGTTAGGTAATAGGGCTAATTATTTAGAAAGAAAAATACAAAAGATGAATCAAATATTTTAAAACGAATCCACTCATAAGATGCGGAAAGCCTGTCCCAGGTGGGAAAGATCACAGAGGGACGTCTGCTTGTTGTGTCCCAGGCAGACAAGTACAAAAAACAGAAGCAAAACCCAATCCAGTAGAGAGTGCTTTGTTTTTAAGATGATTTGAAAAAACCCACTCCAAAATTATTCTGGAAATATCAGAATTTACTCTTTGTGAGAAGGTGGGCTCGGCTTCCAAGCCTCCCCTGATACAGAATGCTAGGACTGCCAGGAGGTAAGTTAGATCAGGAAAATGAATTCGCAATTTAAGGGGCTAAAGCGTCTGTGTTAGCCTCTCTGAGAAACGTAGAAACATTGGTTCACATTCTGACCAGGGTCCATTGAATGTTCTTTTCCAAACAACACCTTCCCCACCCAATTCCCGAAGCCTCTAGCCGGTATAGTCTTTGGTGAGCTGAGGGTGGAAAGTTTTGTAACCGTCTGCTGCAAAACTTCCACTGGTCCCTGCCCTTTAAAACAACAAAGGCTTTTATTTCTTCACGTCACAGCCATATGGTCCCAGGGAAAAGTGATGCTACTACACATTAGCCCCAGTTATTTAAGTGCTACTTATTTTGGCCGAGTCCCAGGTTGATCTAGTAGTTGAATTGCATTCTGAGCCCAGACCAGATTTGAAAATGGCCACCTTGGTGGTGCCACAATCCTGTGGTTGTAGCGAGACTCCAGCTGCAAGAATTACTCATTCAAGACCAGAAAAGGCAGCTTGTAGCATAGTGTCTACTTCCCTTTCTGGCCTCTCTTTTACCAGATAATTTGTGACTTCACAGCATAGAGGACTTTTGAGTTTCCCATTGCCAGGTTGCCATCGACTTACTTCCTTTCAATATAGCTTGAGGTGGGGGACCAATCTAATAGAAGATCATGGAACGGTCTTATCATTAAAGTAGACCTTCAAGTGTTATGAACATTAGAGATGGAGTAAGAGGAGGCCATGCTAACGTCCTGTTGGGAGTGCGAGGTCCCACCCAGTGGAGGTGATTTAGATCATGAAAATGTTTAACTATTGCCTTCGTTGCTTGCAGGTTGCATTAGTTATCTGTTGTCATATAACAAATCACCTCAAAACATAACAACTTAAAACAACAAACGATATTGCACAGTTTCTGTGGGTCAGAAATCTGGGTGTTCTTAGTGGGTCTTGGGGTCTCCCATGAGACTACAACCAGAGAGTGGGTTGGGACTATAGTTACGTCAAGGTTTGATTTGAGGAAGATCTGCTTCCAAGCTCACTCATGTGGCTACTGGCAGGCCTCAGAGTATCCATTTCCAACTCATCTCATGGCTGTTGGCAGGCCTCAGGTTCTTGCTAGCTGTTGGCCAAAGACATCAGTTCCTTGCGATGTGGACATCTCATAAAGCCACTTAAAACATGATACCTTGTGCCCTGGCCAGTGTGGCTCACCTGGTCAAGCATTGTCCCTGGCACTGAAAGGTCGCCAGTTCAATTCCTGGTTGGTGGTTGGGCACATGCCCAGGTTTTGGGCTCAATCCCCAGGTCAGAGTGTATTTGGGAGGCAGCCAATTTCTCTCTCTCTCTTTCTCTCTCTCTCTCTCTCTCTCTCTCTCTCTCTCTTTCTGTATCTCTCTCTTTCACTCTAAAATCAATAAAAACATATTAAAAAAAACCATGGCTATTCTGGATTACTTTCCTCAAGAAAATAAATTACATAAATAAAAAATTTTAAAAATGGCACCTTGTTCCCCCAGAGCAAGTGCTGAGAGAGAAACAGAGAGTGAGAACAAGAGTGAGAGGGAGAGTGAGAGTGAGAGAGAGAGAGAATGAGAGGCAGAGCTCTCTCTCTCTAAAAAAAAAAAATAGCAATGGAAGGTGTAGTCATTCTGTAAGCTAAGTTTGGAAGTGACATCCTGTCACTTGACATGTTCTATTCATTAGAAGCAAGTAACTAGGTTTATCCACCCTCAAGGGTCTGCAGGGGCTACACGTAGGCATAAATCCATGGAAGGGCGAGGATCACTGGGAGCCAATTTAGAGACTGTTTTACCACAAGTATTATTCATTCACTCCCAAAGTGTTATGGAAATGAGGCCAGAGAGAGAAACAGCTCTTG